ACACCCAAACAAGAATACGGGACGGGGCTAGGTAGCCAGTAGTTATGGATGTATTTAGATTTTCCTATATATTTAGTATATATAGGAAAATTTAAACTTTTGACATTAGGATAAAAATATAAATAAAAATCAGTTTCGATTTGAACAGAATTGTTCGTTTGCCTTGGTAAGGCTTTTAAGTGCTTTTAGAGGCAGCGGATTGCGATCCGCTGCACTAGTATTTGGTTCTTGTATGGAACGAAAGGTCGGTGACCAAAAGACATTTCCTCAAGCGCAAAGCTACGGCAGCCCCGCTGCAGTTACACTGATTATGGCTTTGCACTTAGATATTTTTGAGGTGTATGTGATGATAAAGGGTATAAGTCACGAACAAGTGGAAGGCCCACAGGTTTGGGGATAAAATTCATGGAGCGAACGCCTAAGCCAACAACACCAGATACCATGGTCGGACGAAGCAAGTGGGAATCCGGAACCACTCCATCGGAGAGTGTGCAAGAAGAGAATGATCGACTACATTGACATGAAGCGTCAGCTTGCAAATTTGCCGACAAAGGCACGCTGAACCAAGATGCTTGCGTTTATACGTGATGCAACGGGTATCAAGACCAAGCCAGGCCAATAATCAACAAACATAAACTGTGGGTGAGGATGTTGAGATGTCAAAAATAATGCAGCCGTATATGCATAAGGTTTACAGTCATTCCTACAGAATCCAAACTTAGATTTAGCGAGTGTTTAAGGTGTGCAAGCTTCACACTGATTGAGGGTCAAGTTTAGTGACACGGCGTCCATGAACATTATAAACTATTATCATTGGATTTTACCATTAAATCAACAATAACCCTGATTATGAATGTTTCCACGGCAGCTATGCTCAAATGTCTACGCTTACACCCAATCTACCCATTGTACTTGTCTAACGTCATGTTTCCTGCATACAAGTTTAATATTTCTGTTGTGACGCGTCAAGTCTAAGCCGGCTGTTAGTACTGCCGGCTACCCCGCCAATCACCATGTTGTTTACGAATTACAATAGTGATTATGTTGAGCATCGAAACACCATTATCGATTTTCACAGCGGAGTACATATAGTTTTCGACGATTTATATCACTACATAATCACCTAACATCTTAATGGCTATGAAGCGCGGGATGAAGTAGCCTTACTTCACTATCGAGCGTACAAGACTATTTATAATGAAATAATATCGAATGATTTTCATGTCCCGCTCACGAACATCTTAATTTGTTTGGGAGTTCCACTCTTCTTTGCCGGAGAATATGCCATCACATATCGTGAGTAGTATCCAATAACGATAACTTAACTTGTCCCCTCCCCTCGAAAGCGTTTTCATGGGTCCTAAAACGTCCATATGCACTATTTTAATAAGCGCGACTTCTTCGATCCAGATCGTCTTAGGAATGCAACAAACGTCTGCTTGCCCTTCATGCAGCCACGACGTAAGTTCCATATACCTTCTTTCAGCGCAGGCATACCATTTATGAAACGCAAAGTTTTTATCAGAAAGTCGTCGCTCTCCCTACACGTTGCACAAAATTCCTTTTCTCGAGGCTTGCTGTAGTACAGCGACGATCTACATGACACTCAGCGTGTATCGGTGCCTCACGATAAGAACTTCAAGGTTAATATCGTGTTCGATACATATAATCTCCCTATGGGTGACCACCTCGAAATATAAAGCGCATGGTGTTAGTCCAACATCCTTCAATTCCGTAATCCTCAAAAGATAATTTCTTAAGCTCCGTAAGCGATTCTGCTGGATAAAGCGAGGAAAGATTTACATCTTTCATGAAACGGGGTTGCACGTACCCTGGTATACAGGGTTGGGTCACACAAGATGGTGTGACCATCACAAGCGTTTGGCTACACCATAACAAGGTGGCGGGAGTGCTAGTAGTTATGCATTTCAATTAGGTTGTACTCTC